AGTGATGCCTGCTCAGTTCATGTGGCAAAGCTAATTTTCAAATACAGAATCTGTTGACTAAAGCGATCACTGTGCTCCTAGGAGGAAGGACATATCAACATCATGACAAATAGATTATGTAGTGATTCTCCCAGTCCTTTCCCCAAGAAACCTACAACCATTTCCTTGGGAGACAATATGGTAGGGATAGAGAAACAACTAGAATTGAGAAGATTATTGGACACAGTGTCTTCACTGATATTGATGCTCAGACTCCAAAGCATTTTCATGGACCCTGAAATAGTGGGAGCTTATGACATCAGGAAATAAGTGGAGTCCTAGCTGGCATACATTTTACAATGTGTTCAGTGGTCTGCAGTCCAACCCAGTGGTCATTGCCTCCAAGTCCCCAGGTATACACTTGGGATTGGTATCTTAGGCAGTGGGGATAATGTCCTTCTAAGGTCCTTGGCATGTGGAATAAGAGCTATCATCATCCCTGTGCAGGTGGAAGCCTCTCAAACATCCTGAAGTCAATATTGTGTTCACAGTGGGAAGATGGACACAAGGGTCACCATTAAAGACAAAAAGAGGCAGCAGTGGTTGTACATATAATATCTCCATTGAAATCACCAGTCTGGCCCTAACAGAAACCTAATCAATCCTAATGAGTGATTGTAGACAACCAACTCTCCCAATTCTCATTGTGGCCGCTGGATGAGAAATACTATCATTCCTAGAGGATATCAAAATGACCTCAGGTGCCTGGCATGCAGCCATTGATTTGGTAAACTTGTTAATTTCTATTTTGAACAGAAAAGAGTATAAAAAAATGGTAGCATTCATGTGGCGTGGGTAACCATATTTGTGTAGTTGCCCTCCAGGGCCATGTTCACCTCCTTGCATCTGGCATAATATTATCTGAACAGATCTAGAGTCTCAGAACCTGCAGAAGACATCATACTGATTCATTATATCAAGAGCATCATGCTGATGGGACCAGGCGAACATGAGTTGGTTAGTTCATTAGAGGTCTTATAAGGAGATACACATTCCAAGGTTAAGAGATAAACCTTACAAAGATTCAGGGACAGTTCAGATTACTGGAGTATTTGGGGTTACAGTGGTGTAGGTCATGTTCAGGCATACCCCGAGTTTAAGGGAAATTGCTTCATGGTGCCTTCCCTACCACAAGGAATGTGATGGCTGATATATATGCCGCTTTGGGTTATTGAAGCAAACATTTCACACCTATGAATACGATGCTGGATGATAATGAAGTGGGAACACAAAGCAAGAAAGGGCCTTGCTTTCTTGCTAGCCTGTGCAAACAGAGCCATAATTTGGGCCATAAAGTCTGGCACAGCTAATGTTTTTGACCCTGTGGGAAACTGGTGGTAGGGGTAAAGATGTGGTGTGGAACCTGTGGCAGGCCCCAAAGGAGAATCACAACGTATGCCATAGGGTTTTGAAACAAGGCCATGCCATCTATGTCATGGAGACTATGGAGAAACAGCTCTCAGTGCGTTAGGGGAACCTGAGCAAAGTGAGCTTTTTGTCCATGTGGCCCCATATGAGCACGTGCCCTGAATCGTGTATCGGCTAGGTTTCTCTGGGCCTGGCGATCCATAAAATCAGATGGATTTGGCAGCAATTCACAGAAAACTCAAAATAGAACATCCAATACCAAGCTCATACAAGAGGAGAAGACATGTGTACGTTGTATGAGCAGGTATTTGAAGTCATCATATCACTCACCATGGTTTCACCAGTCACTTCACTCAGCTTCCGTATATGCCCACATGGGGGTTTTGTTCAGTCAGCTAAATGAGGAATAAAATGCCTGACTTTGGTGTATGGTTGGGTAGGCTTGGTATATGGGTTCAAACCAAACATGGAAGATGACTGCATAACATTCCTCTTCAAGGATGACTCTAAAAAGAGAGAAATAATAAAAAATAATATTATTGGGCAGTTTTATGCCTAGTACCTTGGTCGTCTACCCTACGTGGAAGGTTTCTAATTAGACTACTTCAGGTGGCCAAGAGCCTGATGAGCTGGTCAGGGCCTGGAATAAAAAGGACTAGAGCATCAGAGAAAAGGTGTTCTAGGGTAGAGCTCTGTGGCTGCTCATATAGCTTTAGTCAGGAAGTGTGAAGATTTTCTTTTTTAAGTATAGTTGATTTACAATATTGTATTAGTTTCATTTGTATAGCAAAATGATTCAGATATATATCTCTCTATATCTGTATCTCTCTATCTCTATACAGTGCAGATTATTTTCCATTATAGGTTTTTAGAAGATATTGAATAGATTTCCCTGTGCTATACAATAAATCCTTTTTGCTTATCCATTTTGTGTACAGCAGTTTGTATCTCTTAATCCCAAACTCCTAATTTATCCCCCTACTCCCTCCCTTCCCCCTTTGGTAACCGTACGTTTGTTTTCTATGTCTGTGAGTCTGTTTTGTATATAGATTCATTTGTATTATTTTTTAGACTCCACGTATAAGTGATATCATGTAACATTTGTCTTTCTCTGTCTGATGTACTCTACTTAGTGTGATATACTTTTTTTTTTTTTTTTTGCGGTACGCAGGCCTCTCACTGCTGTGGCCTCTCCCGTTGAGGAGCACAGGCTCCAGACGCACAGGCTCAGTGGCCATGGCCCACGGGCCCAGCCGCTCCGCGGCATGTGGGATCCTCCCAGACCGGGACACGAACCTGTGTCCCCTGCATCAGCAGGCAGACCCTCAACCACTGCGCCACCAGGGAAGCCCTGTGATATTCTTTAGTTCCATCCATGTTGTTGCAAATGGCAGTATTTCATTTTTTATGGCTGACTACGATTCCAGTGTGTGCACGTGTGTGTGTGTGTGTGTGTGTGTATATATATATATATATATATATATATATAACATCTTCTTAAACCAATTATCTCTGGATGGGCACATGGGTTGTTTCCATGTCTTGGCTATTGTAAATAGTGCTGCTATGAACATCGGGTTGAGTGTATATTTTTGAATTAGTGTTTTTGGTTTTTGCAGGTATATACCCAGGAGTGGAATTGCTGAATGTTATGGTAGTTCTATTTTTTTTTTTTTTTTCAGTACGCGGGCCTCTCACTGTTGTGGCCTCTCCCGTTGCGGAGCACAGGCTCCGGACGCGCAGGCTCTGCGGCCATGGCTCACGGGCCCAGCCGCTCCACGGCATGTGGGATCTTCCCGGACTGGGGCACGAACCCGTGTCCCCTGCATCTGCAGGCGGACTCTCAACAACTGCGCCACCAGGGAAGCCCTATTTTTAGATTTTTAAGGAACATCCGTACTGCTTTCCATGGTGACTGCACCAATTTACATTCCCATTAATAGTGTACGAGAGTTCCGTTTCTCCCACATCTTCTCCAGCATTTATAATTTGTAGATTTTTGATATAGCTATTCTGACATTTGTGAGGTGATACCTCACTGTGGTTTTGACTTGCATTTCTCTAATAATTAGTGATGTTGAGCATCTTTTCATGTGCCTGTTGGCCATCTGCATGTCTTCTATGGAGAAATGTCCACGTTGGTCTTCTGCACATTTTTGATTGGATTTTTGTAACACAGGTTCATGCCTATCAAGAAGCTTCCGTCCTGGAAAAGGCCCTGAGCAACCAGGCAGAGAAAATGACTCGGCCAATCAATAGACAATCTTCACCATTAACCACCATGGAACTGGCACAATGGGCACATGAACAGAGTGGCCATGGTGGCAGACGTAGTGGCTACAGTGAGCTCAATAGCATAGACTCCCACTTGCCAAGAACGTCAGTCCAGGTACTACCATCTCTAAATGTCCAACTTGCCAACAACAAAGATCATTGCTGAAGTCCTGAGAAGTCATTATTTCTCAGAAGACCCAGCAGTTAATTGGTGGGAAGTCAACTACCGTGGGCCCCTTCCAATCTGGAAGGGCCAGCATTTGGTCCTCGCAAGAACAGATAGCAATTCTAGATGTGATAAGTAGCCTTTTGTGCCTGCAGAGCCACAGCCAGCATCAGTATTGGGGGCTTGCTTATGAAATGTGTGATCTTTAACCATGGAGTCCCACGTGGCTTAGGACGTGAACAGAGACCTCAGCCTTCAGTGAATGAGGTAAAGGAATGGGCCCATCCCAATGGAATCCATTGTTTGCATCACATCAAATATTCACTGGCAACCACCCGCACACTGCACTGCAATGAGCTACTGAAGGCACAGCCGAAACATCAGCTCAGAGACAATATCCTGGAAGGATAGAGTGCCATCCTTCAGGGTACAGTGTGTATGTTCAATCAAAGACTGCTACATGGTACTGTATATCCATTATGAGGAATATATGGGATCGGGAAGCAAGAAGTAGAAGTTGGGTGGCCCTACTTACCATGACTCTTAATGATCCACTGGTGGTTTTTCTGCTTGTCCTCCCAGCAACTGTGTATTCTCCAGGGCTGTAGGTAGGTCTTGGTCTACAGAGAATGCACTTTTGCCAGGGATACAGCATGAATGCCATGGAACTGCAAGGTACAGTGGCCATCAAGGCCCCTCAGTCATCATATGTCCAAAGACTAGCTTGTGAGAACAGGAGTCACCATTATGGATGGAGTCATTGACCCGGAGTAGCAGGGGAGTTAAGGCTGCTATTCCTCAGTAGAGGCTTGGAGGATTACCTGTGGAACCCAGGTGATACTCTTGCCAGACTCCTGGAACTCCCTTGCTTGGGCAATGGTAACTGGAATGGACTTGTGCAACAATCTTGGCCTGAGAGGTCTCAGACTCCTCGAGGATAAAGATGCAAAATTTTTAAACAAACAATATAGAGAGTCTCCTGTTTTTCCTGTATGTTCTACTCTTCCCCATCTACTTTCTCCTTTCTTATACTCATACCCCTTGAGTATCTAAAACTACCACAAGGATTGCAGAAACACTTCTCAGCAATAGTGTTCTGTTGGTTATCGGGACTCCTTCAAGGGGCAGGATAATAGGAAAGAGCCTCTCAGGCACTAGTTTTGGTTAAAGGTGAAACTGCTGCTAAAGTTAAAATATAGGACAGTTACTACGATTCTTCTTCTTACAGAAACCCTGAGCCTGCTTCAGTTGTGAAGTCACCGGGTCTGCCATTGTTCTCTGATACGCCTCAACTCAATGAAGATTTACCCTCTATTGGAGTCACATAAATCTTAAAAAAAAATAATTTGGTGCCATTGCTTGGGGAGAGGGTAGAAAAATTTCCAACACTGCCTGATGGGGTCAAAAACAGAACCAATCAAAGAACCCTAATTTTCTTTGGTGTGGAGGTAAGTCCTCCTCCTGTTCTCAATTTTTCTTGTTTTTGTTTGTTTGTTTATTTGTTTTTTCATAGTTTGGAGTTGCAGGGCTGTGGATCTCTTGAAGGTCAAACTTTTGTCAGACTGAGGTCAGTATTCTTCTTTTGCTTTCTGGAGATCTTTGGACGAGCAGAAACTTAGGCATTTTTCCTAAGGTAGGTCATGTCCCTCTTTCTACCTCAGACTTCTTTTACCTGGGAAAACTCCTATTTTACCCAAACTGCTGGTCAGATTTGCTCTAGAAATATGGTCTGCCAGAAAGACCCTTACTCTATTAATTTCTTCTCGAAGTAGCATTTGTTCATTGAGTACCATCTCAAATTTAGTGGCCCTATAGTTTCTTGGGTGTGTCAGACTTGTGAGTGTGGCACCTTAGAAGAAAGGGCATTAGAATAGCCATCGCACCATGGGCAGCCTACCTCAGTTGGTACAAAGAAGACAAGAAAGGAAATACATTAAACAGATTCCAATATTTTGAGGCCTCTTTAAACGTCAACCTTCTTCTCCTCTCAAAGCCTTTGACCTTCTCTCTACCTCTGTTTATGTCTCTTATAACCCCACTCCTTCCTAACATCCTTACTAGCCTGATCTCTCCTTTCTTTTAAGCTCCCTTGCTTTTCTGCCCTTGTTTGATTGGGAGTAATCCAACCATGTTAACTAGGCTATACTTAATCTATCTCACAGGTCTGGCACCAGTTAGAAACTGCTTTTTAGGAATATTCATCTTAGGCCTTAACATGAGACAGCCACCTTTCCAAAAAGTGTGGCCTAAACCTGAAACATCAAATGTTATTTAGAAATACAAACTGGACTGACAGACCACATGCATCCTCACATTGCCCAATTCTGAGGACTTCCAAGCAAAAGATGCTGGAAGCATTGCTGTTGCCCTTGTTTACACTGCACATTTGGTATCCATGATTTCCTTTTTCCGACAAGTGCCCCTCAGATATCCTATAATTTTAAGGGATCTATCAACAGTCAAAGATAATATTAATGACAAGTTGAAAAGGAGGGAGAGTTTCCATTACACCCAAAAGGAGGGGAGAAGTGGCTGTTTGATTACAGTGTCTATCTTCTGAACAAAAATATAGCACAGCTAAGATATCAACATGGACTAGGGACTCCAGACTTGAGGCAAACCCTCCCCAACCTGAAAAACTTCATGGAGCATGGACTAGTGGTCAGGTGCGACAGAAATCACACCTCCAGTGCAACCCCTGTTCCAAAGATACAAAGCTCCATATTTGGGGGTGCAGATGTAGGCTTCTCTGGGATATCCCTTCACCGGACAAAGGACACCGGAAACGGGCCAGCTCAGGGAATGAGAGACGCGAGTACAAAACCCCTCCCCCCAGTTAGAACTCGGTATTTGCCCAGCCTGTGACCACCATCCCCTCCATGGGAGAATCTGAAAGACAATGTCTCTGTCTTCCTCCTTAGACACCTCCAAAGAAAACAAGAAAAAAGGGGTAGATCTGGGAGACAGATCACATGGAGGCCAAGTGAGTGTGAACATTAGCCAGGAACAGCGACAAGCCCTCTCGGGGTCTCCAGCCACAGTCAGCGGCACCCTCCTGTCCAGCGAGCAGGCCGGCTCCTCGAGCACCCTGCTTCCGGAGACAGGGGTGGGAGGGGATTTCCACCCTGGGTCTGAAGCCGAGCTCTGCTGTGCCATGGAGCAAGCGGAAAAGTTCATCGGTGTGAAAGCCACAGCCTTCACCTCAGGCAACCAGCTGAAAGCATTTAACTGCATCCCCATGGACGGTGCCGGGGCAGTGGAGTGTGATGAACAAGTTCTGGGAGAATTTGAAGAGTTCTCCCCAAGGATCTATGCACTGAATGAAAACATATCCAGCTTCCGCTGGCCACGCAGGAGTTCTGATAAGTGAAGCGAGAGGACAGACAGTAGGACCAGGGTAGAGTCACTGCTTGAAATGAGGATAAAGCTGCACTGGTCACCCTTTGTAACAATTATGACACGAAATGAATATTAATGAAGGGTATTCCTCAGAAAAATAGACTTTGTGAATCGAGGAGGAACTCAGGATCACTGTGTATCAGTGGGCCAAAGTTAGATTTTGCTTGCAAGATCTGCTTTTCAGACCTGACAATTGCTTAAAGGCAAAAGTCACTCTCTGGCTCGAGTCACTTTATAGGCATTTGTCTGCTTTTTTATTTACACTTCTATGTTATCCTCAGAGGGAAGATGATAATATATAAATAATATAGTGAACTCGCTTTTAGTTTCTCATGAGCATTTGCCCTCACCACAGTTTATGAAACTTCGGGGAAATCGAACGTTCAGTAAAGGTCTCCAGGATCTTTGGCCATCCGTTAAGTTGATGAATAAGAAGCACAATGTTCTCCTTATACACAGGCCCACCTGCCCCCGCCCCTGCCCCCAGGCTCCACAGTCAACCTAGCTGTCGTCCCATCTGCACAGTAGATGCTTGTGCATCCTGAGCGACTGAGAACGCCACATTCACTTGTTCTTTAATGCCGTCACCATGACCTTCCAGCTCTTCCAGTCAGCCATACCCTTGATGCAGCCCTCAGATTAGATGAAAAACCTCACCTCTGGTGGATCCCAGGGGACCCCCAAGGACCACAAGGTTACTATAGTCAGATGGCATGCAGTTCCACCTGGGAGTCAAAGTTTTATGTGGGCAGATGCTGTTGTCAAAAGCTGGGTGTGTTTTCTGGCAATGCACTCACCATATAGAAATCCCTATATGTAAATCCCATGTTAATTTATCACATTTCAGTTGGAAAGGAAGGCATTGTATATGATGAAATATATGTGGAGAGTCAGGCTGTCCAATGTGCAAACCGCAAGGCAGCTGAGGTAGTTGGATTAAGAGACTAGATGAGGCATAGAATACTACTGGTATGTGTGCAATGGAATAAATATTAAGTTATGTTTTTGAGGTCCATTTTCATTCCTGGAGCTCAGATTTCATTTGCTATTGCTATGTACTTTATATATCCAAGGACATTGCCTCAGGGTTGCAAGCTCTTTAAGGAAATTTTGTGCTTATAGCCATGTATTGTATAGAAGAACACAAATTGAGTTTTCCTCAAAAAAAAAAAGCAGCCCAAGATTTTAGAGAGAGCATGATAACCAAAGAGAAAATCACATACACTCAAATGTATGAGACTATAAATTACATAGCTTGAGGGAAAAAAAAGTCCTTCACAAATGCAAACAGATCCATAAGGATACCAGCAGTTAATGGAAAAATGGAAGTAAGAGAGAAAAAAGGCTACAGGGACCACGGTTATCATGCTTTGGCAAATGGACTGCTCAATTCGAAACCAAAGTGCTCTACTTCTGGGAAGATACAGTTTAGTTTCAACAAGTGCCTTTGGGTCAACAAGAAATAGCAGTGTTGGAGATTAGTTCAAGATGGCGGAGAAGGACATGCGCTCATTTCCTCTTGCGAGAGCAATGGAATCACAACAAACTGCTGAACAATCATTGACAGGAAGACACTGAAACTCACCAAAAAAGATACCCCACATCCAAAGACAAAGGAGAAGACACAATGACACATTAGGAGGTGTGCAATCACAATAAAATCAAATCCCATAACTTCTGGATGGGTGACTCACAAATTGGAGAACACTTATACCACAGAAGTCCACCCACTGGAGTGAAGGTTCTGGGCCCCACGTTAGGCCTCCCAACCTGGGGGTCTGGCAACGGGAGGAGGAATTCCTAGAGAATCAGACGTTGAAGGCTAGCAGGATTTGATAGCAGGACTTTGACAGGACTGGGGGAAACAGAGACTCCACTCGTGGAGGGCACACACAAAGTAGTGTGCACATCGGGACCAAGGGGAAGGAGCAGTGACCCCATAGGAGACTGAACCAGACCTACCTGCTAGTGTTGGAGGGTCTCCTGCAGCAGTGTGTGGTGGCTGTGGCTCACTATGAGGACAAGGACACTGGCAGCAGAAGTTCTGGGAAGTACTCCTTGGCTTGAGCCCTACGAGAGTCCGCCATTAGCCCCAACAAAGAGCCTGGTAGGCTCCAGTGTTGGGTCACCTCAGGCCAAACAGCCAACAGGGAAGGAACCCAGCCCAACCTATCAGCAGACAAGCAGATTAAAGTTTTACTGAGCTCTGCCCACCAGAGCAACAGCCAGTTCTACCCACCACCCGTCCCTCCCATCAGGAAACTTACACAAGCCTCTTAGATAGCCTCATCCACCAGGGGGCAGACAGCAGAAGCAAGAAGAACTAGAATCCTGCAGCCTGCAGAACAAAAACCACATTTCACAGAAAGATAGGCAAGATGAAAAGGCACAGGGCTATGTACCAGATG